ACTTCTTTTAATTAATAAAAAAAAAATGTTTTCAGATAACCTCGATCCTTTGCGCCATAAAACTTCAACCATCCAAAATAATGCATGTATATCATAACAGTAGACGACCTATTTGAACACAATACTCGGTATCAAAATGACAAACAGGTTACTTGAACTTAGTGTACTAGTTACCATAACATTAAAGAAAGTAAATTTAATACCTTAACGACAGACAGTCCACTTGAAAATACTGAAGTATAAGTGACACCTTAGCGACAAACAGCCCAATTCAAAATACTGAAAGTACACGTGACATCTTAACGACAGACAGCCCACTTCAAAATACTGCAATACATGTGACACCACCACAACAACAGCAATCAGCTTAATGGGAAATGTTACATTAATACCGGTCACAACAGCTGTGTTAAATTGAATGTCTTTGAGGTCCTGGAAGCTCCGTAGACACTTCGTCATTTGCTTCCATTACCAATACCCTTTTGCAGCAGTTTCTTAGTATTTTCGGTACATTATATTAGTTCCTCTGGTAGGTGAGCAATACCATATTTTATGGTATATAAGACGAGACTTTGAAGCTTTAGTATAAATTTCAGACCGTGACTTTTTGCGTAGACGTGCGCAAAACTTTTGATCAAAATTGAAAGGTTTTTGTTGAATTACTTTGCACACGTGGCTTCATATTTAGATTAAATTTGACATCTCAGTGTAGGTTGTAGAGTTCTATCAGTGTTCCAAATTTGAAAAAAATTATAAAAGTTAAGTATGTTTTTCTATCAAATAAAGTTTTTGTACTTTCGATGCTAAGAAAAAAAAAATGAAGAAATTCAATCAAAATTGGAGATTTTACATCTCGTGTATTTCTTAACGGATTACCTTGATATTTGGTATGTAAAGTAAGGGTCCAGTGTAGCACATCCACTGAAATTATGCGGTAGGTTGGATTATCACAGCCCGAGCTACAGAAAGTGGAAAATTGCTAAACGATCATTCTTGTTAACACATAGTGTGTTCTGCAAGTTGTCTTGGCCGCATAGTACATTACCGTTTGTCTTGATTCTCGACTCCACATCAACTTATTCGTCGAAAATTACGGTAAGTTTACGTATCCGCAACTCTAGAATCCGGGGTTCGAGTCCCTACGATGGACAGTGCAGTTAGCCCATTCTATAGCTTTGACTAAGAAAACAACAGCAGCATTATATTAGTGATAGTTTTCCCCGCCACAACCAGTTGTACTAGATTTTGTTTTAACACTTAAGTGCACTGTCCCCACCTTCCCCCAAGTAAATAAGTAAAGGCTTCAATAATGTAAAATGGCATGTGTTGTATTATTAATTAAATAACGAACTGATTAACCTTTTGATTTTGTGTAATAGCTACTCACACTCACTTGTAATTTATATTTTAACTTTATTGTGGGAATGGTTTTCTTCCTCTCCACGAGGACAGATAACTTGTGGATGGGAGGCTGTGTTCTAAATAGTCAATAATGCAGTCAGGGTTAATAAAAAATTCCATGAATTGCTAATATAATAATGTTTTGGTATCTGTTATTTTCTATTCACCTTGCCCTGTAACAGCCTATTATCACTGGCCAGCGAGTTATCCCGTACATCTGGGCTTCAGTCCCCTCACGTCCGGCTATCTCCTTGTCCCTGGGACGAACCGCCAGTGGTCTTCAGGTATTACTATTATTATTATTTTGAAGGTATGATATATGCAGGTAAATACTTGTATTGTGGGGTGGAGGAATAAAAGGTGTTCAGACAATAAGCTCGTTTAAATTACTAGGATAACTTATCGAAACATCAATTAATTACGTTTTAGTCGTTTTGAACCATATTTTTCAAATTCAAGTTCAAGTATTAGTTTTTAAATTGAACAATTTCATATGTAATTTGAATCTATATTTTCACGAGATGTTTTCTTAAATCGATTAGGCCTAACCAGTTGACCTACAAACAAGAACTTAGAATAAAATATTTATAACAACACAGGTTTTTAGAATTTTATTTGAATTCGTAAGTTGGTGTGATTTTTGACATGGATTGGAAATCAAAGTGTTGATGCTAAAGTCTTCTAAACTGCTTATATATATAATACCTTGGTTATTGAACTGGGATTTATGTAAATATGCTAACATCGTTAAATGAAGCTAAAATCCGATAATATAATTTTTTATTATGATCTCTGTATAGAAGTTTTATAACTTGAAAATATGACAGACATTATTTTGTACGAGGATCTTTAAATAGTCTTCAAGTCAGATAATCAAAAATATATTCATGAGTAAGTATTATAAAATGACCCCTTAGAAATGTTTACGACTGTCACGAAAATAAACTTCCCTCCTTGTTACGGAGCCTGGCATAGCCAGGTGGTTAGGGCACTTGACTCGCAATCTGGGGAGTTATAATGTTACGGTCAATCTCACTATTCGTTGGTAAAAGAGCAGCCCAAGAGTTGGCGATGAGTGGTGATGGCTAGCTGCCTTTTCCCTAGTCTTTCACTGCTAAATTAGGGACGGCTAGCGCTGATAGCCCTCGTGTAGCTTTGCGTGAAATTCAAAACAAAGCAAACTCCTCGTTACGAAATTTAAGATTGTCCCCTTTAGTGAAAACCCGTACTCACACAAATCGTTAATTTGTTTTGTTTTTTGTAAGTCCCCTGTTTGTACAGAGTACCAACCTACCTTTGTTTAAGAAATTTCTGATAGCAAAATTTCTACCTGTGCGTTTGGCAAGCTCACAGTAAAATTAAAATACAATTTTAAATGAAAACCCGCACTTTATTTTTAAAATTTAAGCTTGAGGAATCCGTATAGATGTAATTGTATGGTGTGTGTGACCGCCATAGCTCCAAGAGGAAAGAATCGAAAAACCTGAAATTTTGCATCCATACTAAGTGGATCCTCAGGGTGTGCACCTGGGTATTATTACTTATCTTATCCACGTGCGTATGCGCGTGTACATCTTTTTAATGAGGGAAGCTAGTGAAAAACAACATAGGAAAGAAGTGGTTTCTTACATAACAACTTCTAATATATATAGAAAAGCCAGTGCGTTTTTGTAACAATGCGTTCCAACAATGGCTTTTATGTCATGCTGCTTAGAAACAAAAGTATATAGGTTATACTTTTGTACTAAAATGGGTTCAGAATACCCACACTATCAAACTGATAACCTGAGCGAAACTGTGTACTTTCGCTAGAATATACATATAAATATAAATTTGTAAGTAAAATAGAAATATTTTCATCAATTTCAGCAATTCAATTTGAGAATCATATAGTTCATGACTGAAACATTATGAAATAAACTACTCTTTAGTGTTCTTTTTTTTATTTGCCAAATGTTTCCGTTGAAACAAAATATGCTCAGGTTTGTGCTCTCCTGTCTTGATATTAAAGCCAGACTTGGCAGGTGTTTAAATAGGCCAACTTCTGGTTCACGTACACGTTCTGTATTTATGTAAAATTATCTTTAAACCGTTAACTAGTTGATATTAAGCCGGTGGTTGCTTTGAAGTTACATAATTTTATTTAATGTGAGTCAGCAATGTATAACCTACTGAGTTCGGTGTGGAGACATGATTCGCGACGAAACCGTTTTATAAAGCGTAAGTTCCAAGAAGAACGCGTGCTTATTTCCACGTATTCGTAAAACGTATCTCTGTGTGTATTCATATATAGATATAAGCGTGAAATCGAAGTAACAGTTCACAATGAGAAAAAGCAATGGCAACGAATACCAAAAGTTGCAACTTATAACTGATACAATATACAATACAAATAGTGAAGATGGAAAGTTGAAAGTGTGTAACTAATTATAAATGCATGGTTGTCTAAGTATACGCAAAATTCTACCTATAATGTGCGTTTTAACATTTTTAATTATTGTATTTTAAAACGCATCAAATGCTCGTGCCCAGATTTGAATTGATATTACAATACAAATGAGGTTAATTGTTTTATAACAGATTAAAACATTATGTAAGGTTAGTCCTGTAACTATTTTGTTATTTGACGTTTCCGGAAAATCGTCGTTTTACTGTAAATAGTTTTTTAGAATTTGTATCCGTTTTTTTTAATTGTATTTTTTTCATTTTAGAGCTGTTTTCTCAGCTGTCACATATTTTGATTCCTTAAACGATACCGGCTTCGATCCCTGCGGCGAATACAGCGCAGTTAGATCATTGGCAACAAACATGCTTTTTTGAACCTAGGAGGAATCTTTTCCTCTTGACATTTCGATGGTTACCCCTTGTGGTTGCTAATTAGTAAAATACCTAAGTCCATCTGAAATGCCTCACAGTGGCACAGCGGTATGTCTATGGACTTATACTGCTAGAAACTGGGTTTCGATACCCGTGGTGGGCAGAACTTCTTTGTAACTTTGTGCTTCATAATAAATAATAACCATTTGAAATAATCGGGCAACAGCTTGATGCCGAAACTAACCTTTTCAGGTTCAGTATCTATATTAGAAACTGGGATTCGATATCCGTGGTGGGCAGAACTTTTTTGTAATTTTGTGCTTTATAACAAATAACAACCATTTGAAATAATCGAGCGACAGCTTGATGCCGAAACGAACCTTTTCAGGTTCAATATCTATATTATGTTAACATATAGAATCACACAGAGTGTTTCCCCCAAGAGTTTCCGTTTCGTAAATACCATTACCTTTCTTTAAAGTTGTTGGAACCCAAAGAATCAACGTTCACAAGCTGCTTTTCTTTTAATCTGTCAGTTCAAAATGAGGGATGATTAGCGCAAATAGTTTTTTTTTTTTTGTAGGTTTTCGTGATTATTGAAAACAAAACAAATGATAAGAGCACGGAACCCTATTTAATGCCCAAACGTTCAAAAAAAAAACAAGTGTATTTTCCAAATACTCTATAAAACTATCAGAAGAATAATTTGCTTTAATTTTTTGTCTCGTACTGAGTAATTAAGGTCACGTTCAAATGTGTCACGCCCTCAGCCAATCTCGGATAATGTGATCAAGATGGAGAGTCGGTTGTATAATACAAGCACGTTCGTTTATCCGTTATGTGGAGGGAAAAGAAGATAAAAAGAAAGAATGTAATCAGATAAATCTTTCAAAGAAAAGGAGCCGCTAGCTTTTATTTGAGTTCTAAGATAACTTTACAAAATAATGTGCGTATAGTTTCAGGACGTGGATTGGTATAGTAAAAAATAATGGGTGAACAGTTTCTTAAGACTTAGTTTTTTCTCTTGTGTCATTACTGCATCGTTGTAATTGGTTGTATACTATGAACTTTCTTTTTTGAAAGAGTTATAGAGCGCAGCTTGGGCCTGAGGTAGAGATCTGGATTTTAGAACTGGCGAGACAGTTCGGATACGTACAATAACTCCAAATATTCTGTGAGTGTGTTATAAGAGCGACACTCAATCCCTCAGGGTAGATGGTTGGGTACTGCTGACTGGTTGCCTTCCCTCCGGTTCAAAATTTGGGACGACAGCAGATAACCTTATTAGCTTTGTCGTAAATACAAATACAAAAGAGTTACGGAAAAGTATTGGTTACTAAACTTAAGACAAGATATCCTCAGAAATAATCTTTCATACTCCAACAACAATCTTGAAGATTAATCAGGGTCAAAGTTGAAGTGAGAAATTGGTATTCTTCTCAACACGTAACAAAATCAAAACATTAGAAGGATGTAAGCTTATACAGAGCATATGGAACGCATAATTTCCGTTTCACCCTTACGAGGATAAAACAGAAGTATACAGTTGCAATTAACTATTAAATATGATGCAATTGATGCTCGTATTAAAAATATCTTAGTGGCGTGTTATTAGAAATTCTGACCTTTTTTTTTGTGACCTTCAAAGTAAAAATGTGATGATTTTGCTAAGTATATTTTTGAAACTTAACGTATTTAAAATAATTTGGGATATTATGAAATTGGAGATTTTAAATCCACAATCTATTCGGTGAATTGGAGAAAGTGAAGTTTCCAATGCATTTGCGTGATTCTTCATCAGTAGGTCTTACTGAAAGTTGCCATCTTTGTAGAAGCAAAGAACTGTCCTGATAAGAATGGCGATATATTTTCTTTTGAGTTTACAAAAGCTGTTAGCTTCTGTTGTATTCAAAGTGTAGCCAGATCCAAACGAAATTTTGGGAATAGCAACTTATCTTTGACTCCACAATATTAGGTTTTATTATTATTATTTCAGTGTGGTCTCAATAATTCGCAAATGTTTCCTGTTAATTTGTACACAAGCAGGTTGTCCACTAAACACCTTAGTTTTAGAATGTACATTTTTATAATTGGGTAGTTTATTTTAACAAAATAAATAAAACCACGGTTCTATCGAGAAGACCCAACATGGTTAGGGCGATCGATTCGCAATCTGCTAACTTAGAGACGGCTAGCGCAGATAGCCTTCGTGTAACTTTGCGCGAAATTCAAAATAAACAAATCTATCGATAAATAATTTACGATACGTTGAAACATGCTAGAAAACTATCACATACTTATTTCTAAGCCAAAAAATAAACAGTATCCGAGCAATTGCTCATGCGTTAAAACTGTTGGAAGCACTCTTATCTGTTTAACTAGCGGGTTGTATTTAAAAGATAAACAAACAAATAACCACTTTCTTTGGATTCTAACTGATAGTTTATCTTTTAATTTTAAGTAGCTA